ATGTCCTCTAAAAAGTCATTGGGGGCCAAAACCGGCAGTTTGAAGCTCAATTTGTGTTGTGACATGGCCAGTCGGTCGTTTAAGCGAACGTGTGGGACACCCACTTTGTACAAAGCTTTATCATACCTAAATTTGAATGACCCATATGTCCAGTATGTGTCTTTGATATGTCTGGAGGGTCCGATATCTCGATGAACTTCACTTTGAGATCATTCAAATTTAAATTATAAATTGACATCAGGTAGCCCTCTCATAGAAACCAGTATCCTTAAAGCCACTGTATTCGCCAATGACAAACATTAAAGAATTCCATTTGTGGTTAAACTTGATTGCAAAACATGCGTTAATCTCTATAGCCCAGGTTCTTGGCTGCAGAAATAGACACTATAACGAGTAGATTGAACATTGAACAATGTGGATTTATGTCTTGCAAGCAGCAGTCTTCAAAGCAAATACATTAAAGCTGCCTCGGGTGGGATAGGCTTCAGTGCATTCCGCGAATTTCAGCTTTTTCGGTTTCGGCTCATTTTTGAAGCGTCATTCGCTATATTGTTTAACAGTTGCAACGTCATATTCAAAAACCCACGTCTCGTCAGCAGTAATGCTACATTTAATAAATGTAGCATCTCTTTTGACACCTCTATTGCCAACTCTACTCGATATCATTTTGCGATAGCTTCAGGTCTTTGGTACACCTCTGGCATACTCAAAACATTAACCAAAATGCGTTGAGTCGATCAATAAGTGATGTTGAGATCCTCTGCTATCTCTTTAATGTCAACACGAAAATTTTCAAGCACTGTTTCTATAACTTCTTCGCTTTTATCATCATTAACAGAGATGGATGGACGACTCGCATGAGGCAAGATGACTTCACGACCTCACTGAATGCTTTGTGCCACTCAAATACTTAAGTGCGTGATAAAGTGGACTCTTTACAATATTTGCAACGACTCCGGAGCCGTCATTCTACTGGAAACACCAAATTTCCAGCAAACTCGCAGCACAACTCTTTTTCATGGTAAAAATCGTCCTACAAACTTTTTGGCTCGAAAAGAACCACCTGCCTAACACACACTAATTTACGTATAGAGATGAAACTTCACACGAACATAAAAAAGGTATACCAATCTAGGAAATTTTTTTTTATTGATTCGGTTTGCGCGCGCAATTAAAATGGCTTAGTTCGAGTAAAATTTTATCAGATATATGTATATATATTATATAAGTATATATCGTATTGTAACCTCTATAGTAGGTGCAAGCTTTTTGTTCACGTCAATCAGTTAGATTTATGCCAGCTATTTGTTCGCTGCGACAGTTTTTGAGTTCTAAGGAATCAAAGAAGATTCTAAAACTGCATGCATCCCTCGTATTAATTCAAGCCAGAAAACACTTTAGATAATTACAAGCTGTCAATGGTTCTTGCTAAGGGATTCATTATAGCAGCTCGTTGATTGCACTGAGGATATAAACAGCCGCTGTTACTGGCGCTTTCAAACATCAACTTCACCATCAGTATTTATAGCGGCGTCTAGAATATATTAAAGCAGCACATTTAACAGAAATAAAGTATGAAAATCATTTATTTCTTCTACTTTAGTCAAGTCAACAATTTTGATCGGCATGATATTCAAATCAAAAGCAACCAGATTGATGCAACAGCCGCCAGACTGGTTAAGCAGAGAGATTGCCACAAGTGAAGTGTATGTACAAATGCAAATTAATTAATAATCAAACTTATTTGCAGCTGCTCATTTGCCACAACTGTGACTTTATAAATAACTAAACTTAACTACAACTAAGTACACACATACAAGCGCATACACATACACCAGTAAGCTGGTGTGCAACAAGAGTGTGAGTGATGAATAAATATTTGTCGAATGGATATATAATAAAAAAAAATCAAAGCTAACCAAAACGCTACAGAAGTGGTTATACTTGTTGCAAGTAACCCACTTGAAGCGCATGCACATGTGGCGGCATGCAGCATCTGCCATCATTTAGGCGATCACAATGTGGACAGGCGAGAACAGACAACATTTGCACCTGCCGTCTATGTGATTTTAATGCAGCGCCAAGTTTTCCCCCCACGAGAAAATCCAATGACAACAACAACAGCATTGACATAACAAGTGCCCCCTGCAATTGTGCCATACGGCGGCGGCGCATGCAACATGCAACATGCATACACGGATACCCATATACAAACATATTTATGTACGTATGTATGCAACTGGTGGCATGTATGTGATTTGATTGCATGCTTCTAAGCGAGTGCATGTGTAAATATCAGCGCTAAATGCTGCCACATTGTGGCCATGAATAGAAGTTGCATGAGCCACGGTCGCCGCTCTAGCGCGTCCACTGACAACAGATGCACACCGCGGCGGCTGCAACTTGTTATCTGCAGTGTTTCTCTAAGCGCACACACACACACACACATACATGCACTTGCATGGAAAAAAAGAGTTATCTGGACGGAATGGGCGCTTTTACCACATGGTCATCGTCGGCTTCCACGAATCATTCATTCATTCACTCATTCATGCGCCCAGAGTGCGCAAAATGTGTGGGGTGGCTTTGTGCCGGCGGTGTGTGTGGCATGTTGTTGTTGTTGCATGTGAAAATCTGAGTTGTTGCCGCACTTGAATATGAGCGTGGCATGCACAGCTGCTAAGTGAGTGCGAATAGTTTAGATGTTCGACTATCTACATACTTGATTTTGTTTTTGTTGCTGTTGTTATGTTTGTTACTAGCAAACTAGCTGATTGAACATCTGCCGGTTGTGGAATTTAAAGAGCCACTTGCAACATGCGATGGTCATTGCTGCCACAATATACTGCTACATCAATAAAGTAAATCTAATAACATGTCCGAAACACACATACACATACATACATACAATTTTTCAACGTGCTTCGTCTTTGTAACATGTCGCCCATTTCAGTTTTTTTGGAGCAATAATTTCAAATTGTAGTGAGCAGGTGGCGCTTAATGGAAAGAAAACTCAAGCCAAATGCCACTGCTGCTGGCAATCATTCTTCTTCGAAGAAAGTTATTAGTAATTTTTTTTTGTTTTTTTGGTTTGGTGCGTCATGAAAAACGTAACCTCCCTTAATATTTGCAAATACAATGGTAAAAACCTAGTACGATTCTGCGCTGAAATTCCTTCTCCAAGAAAGTTAAAATCACGGAAATGCTTACCACTTACCACCATAAGGGCTTGGAGGAGAGATGGTATAGGCGTATAAAAACTTATATCTATACACAACCTGGAATGGTAGTCATGTTGATGAAATTAAATAGTAACTAGGTCGCTTTACGTGTTACTAGGTTTTTGAGGTGTTAAACGTGGTACCCACCAAACCAATAAAAGCGTTCGAGAAATAGTTGTTCCGTTCCCACGACAGTCGGGTTTACGTAACCGGAACGTACCCGGATTTTTATCCCGGAAGGACTATTAACTTATTCAAATTACTTCAAGAGTGATTTCTTCTATTACAGCAAGAAAAGCGCAATAGTTGTTGTTGTAACGTTTACCCAGACCCAACAGAAATGTTTGGTAGCAAGGTGCCAGTTGTCATCAAAATGATCACATGTTGTTTCGACGGGATCGGAGCTTTAGGAAATGGTGTTAGATGACTTTGTGTCATAGAACATGAAAAGAGGTGGTTAGAATCATGCGAGTCCTCGATGCATGCAGCACATAGATTTGATATGTCGAAGTCGATTCTGTAGACGTAGGAGTTAACAAGCACTATATCCTATTTATCCAGAACGAAGTTGCGCACGGGTTATTATAGATTCGCAAAGCTCTCTTCTCTGGCTGGTGGTTTGACACCAAAGACGCTATTCGCTGGTAGGGAGTTAGTGAAGCGGTTAATGGCTCCACTTTGAATTGCGTTCTCTTAATCCGTACCGTCCATAATCTGGTCGGTAAATTGTGCTCTGTCGTCGACGTAATCAATGAATTAGGAGGCAGCTCCGCTGCAAGCAGATGACTGCAAGGATGGTTTCTGCGAAAGAAATAGGCTTTGAGAACTCCATAGAGGGGACATGCTTAGTCGGCTATGATCGTGCTGGATATGCAGATCGAATTGCCTTAAGAAGTGTAATTAAGTTATAGGCAATGTGAAATGGTAGGTCCACATACAAAAGGTTGAGAAAAGCTTTAAAGCGAACGATGACAAAAGCATAAATTCTTTAAAAAGATTGTATAAAGACTGTTGTTTACCTTCGCATTTTGAAAAACTCTATTTTTCCGTTTTTGCATATTTCTAATATAGACTTAACTAGAAACATACAAATTCTCATAACTCAGCAAAAAATAGTCCAGTGGTATTATATCGCACGATCTTGGAGGCCACCCCACAAGCCCACGATGCGCTCACCAGAAGTTTCCTTCAATAAATTGAAGTTGTTGTTATTGTAACGGTTATCTAGTTCCCGATTGGATGATAAGTGATAGTTTGGTTGTCGTCGAGGCCATCTAACGGCGGTAATCCTCCAATTCAGGCGCTAAAGTCATTAGTTATGGCTTTATAGCGTTCCCCATTGACTGTAACATTATGACCAGCTTCATTTTTGAAGAAATATGGACCAATGATTTCCTCTGCCCATAGAGCACACTAACGCCTTCGGCAAAATCTTACATAAAGTGGATGAGCACAGCTCCAATTGTTGCGCGCAATGGCGGATGAACTCTTTCGGGTCCTCTTCGATACTCTGGTTTACAGCAGCAATAGCGTCTTCGGTGCGCAATGTCCGGAGTAAATCTCTGTATTATAAAATGGCGAACCACATTGACTATAAATGAAGTAACAGCTGTCAAAAAGGCCAATTCCAAAAAGAGTATTGTCTCATTGAAAACTACACGTCGAAAAACCACCCGTTATAATGGACGTGTTGTGCCTTTGCGCCATTGCGTCAAAATATTCAATATATAATATACATATGTATGTATTTACAAAATGAAAAACTTGAAAATTATTTTCTGAAGAATTCATTTTTAAGAGCGTTTCGATCATTTTGACTAAATAATGTAGTACGAATTATCATGTTGTTTTAATTACGATTCCTGTTATAACTTTTATGATTGCAATTACTGAAAATATAATGCTGGATTTTTTTTTTTAATTAAAATTAACGTTAACAATTTGGTCAGAATTGCACCATTCTGATTACATCTCGTCCTTAAGAATACTTATTAATAACTGGTTTCAATACAATTAATTCGAAAATAGTTTTTGAAAGTCGATTTGTTACACAAATATCTAATATTTTATAATTTAAGAATGCAAATCAAAAAATTAGATAAGAAAAAAAGGTAATATTAATATTTATTATATAATTTTATAACACTATTATAGTATACTATTCCGTTATATCGACACCTTGATGACGTAAAGCTTTCATCAAATCACCTTTAATGCGACGCTGGTGGAATTCAGGTAACCGTTGTGTTGCGCCTAACATTGCGTCAAAAAATGCTTTCAAACTCTTTTCTTCCGGTAATAAGTTTTCATAAGGTGTCGCCGATTTACGATCCGTCATAACGCCCGTCGTCGTTAAATTAGTTTTAGCAGTATTAGTTGAACATGTTTGCTGTGTATTAGTGCGTTCAGTTATTAACGTATTCTGTTTGATTAGATTATCATAATCTGGAGATTCTAAGCATTCTGAAGTACTCATTTCAATTTTGTAAACATTGTTATCAACTTTTATTTCTATAGGGGTTTCATCTATATCTTTAATGGTTACGTAATCCTTGTGAGCTGTTTTGCGGGACGTAACTGTAAGCGTTTTGGAAGTGGAAGGTATCTCAATATCTTCACTGATGTCAATCGTCTCCAACGTTACGTCCCTATTTTTGTTTACTCGCGTATTATCTTCCTTTTTTATTTCTTCCTGTATCGCTTTTAATTTAGCATCGCCTACAATGCTTTTGATATAGGGCATCATGAAAAGCATATCTTTGAAATAATAATAGTCATGAAATTTGATGTTTCCCTTATTAGGTGTTGGTAATCCGTCGTTTGGTTGAGTTTTCTTGGACACATTAAGTATGTGTAGATAAAAATCGCTCAGCAGTCGCTCCCAACGTTTTTTGGATTGGGCTGGAATGTAAGAATATATTTTTGAAATTCCTTAATTAATTAATTATTATATATAAATAATTACAATTTTAACTCACGTTTGTTAAATCCACATGCCACGTCAATTTGTTCCCACATTTCATGTCGTACTTCCATCGATGGACTTGTGTATACCAACGGATTGGTCTTCACTAAATTTATTATTTTCAAATTTTCTTTTACGTAAAGCTATTTAAAAGAGAAAAACAAGATTAGTGAAAAAAAATAGTGTTAGTACATTGTTCATCATTATTTTCTTCTGAATATATTGTTCCATTGAATTAAAAAGAAATATTGGAAATTCTAATGCCATCTAAATTTGATTAAAAAAAAGTCAAGTTCATACATGAAAAGTAAGATTTTGTTACTGTGCAAAGTTAACATTAATTACAACAAGAAAACAAGTTAGCTACGGTTCCACCGAAGCCATAATAATAAAAACAAAAAAATTCCAAACAAGAATATGAATTTGATCGGTCAGTTTGTATGAATATGAATACAATAGTTCTCTGATCTAAAAATTTTTTCGAAAATTGAAGGGTTGTCTTAAATACATAATCCATGCCAAACTTCGTAAAGGTATATCGGCAAATAAAAAAAATTTACATACAATTAATTAATTTTTATCGTTCAGTTTGTATGACAGCTATATGCCAAAGTTATCCGATCTAAACAAGTTGTTCGGAAAATGTACTGTTTCCTTAGATAATAATCCATGCCGAATTTTGTGAAGATATCTTTTTAATAAAATGTTTTCCATACCAGAAATAAATGCAGACCGACATCTCAATAACTGTGGACCAGTTCGCGTATATACAGGCAAACGGATATGGATAAATATTGATTTACAACACTTGTCAACGTGACTATTTGCTCTACTTGCTCGTATTTACTGGAACGAAACAGTTATCGTTTTACATCCTTACCTCTGACCATTCGGTTCTGTGTGTAGCATGCTGATCGCTCGTCGTATTCATCTCCGATCCTTCAGAAGAGTATTCATAAATTGAAGGTACAACACCACGCTTCAACAATCGATTCTTGGCGTAACCTATAAAATTTAAATGGCACAATTAAATATAATTTAAAAAACAAGAGAATGTGGCTGTGGATGAAAGTGAAACTTTTTACAGATTGTCGACATTCAATTGAAATTTTGTGGAAAAATTATTCGGTTTAGGTTGTTAAAATCACGTCTATAATCTTAACTTCATAATTAGTAAGAGCAATGATAATAGTTGGCAAGAACTATACATTTTTATTTCAATAATAACTGAAAGTGTGAAAAAATCAAATATTTAGCCATGATTTGAACAAGAGCATCATTCGAACCAAAAATCCATGTATGTTTACCACTCGCACTTAATTAGGTGTATAATTTTTTTGTTTAATTTGTTGTTTCTATATCTATACAAAGAAATGCTGATGCTGATTCCAATAGAAATACATATAAATATCATATCTCAGCAGACTTGTCATCGGGAAAAAACAGTTTGTTGGCGGCGACGACTAAAGAAAGGAGAAGAGTAATTTACATACAAATAAATCTACAATTATACAAGTATAAATTTTGGCAGTCATTCGCGCAACTTTGTTTGTTTGTAATTGGGCATATGATGGTTGTATGTAAATATAAAAAGCTGTAATGCGATATGCAACAGATGGACAAGAAAATTTGAGACGATGGCTAAAAAGTTTCACTTTTACTACAAGGTACTTTTTTCAACTTTCTTTTGTACCTCGATTCGTACTTGAATCACCGTCTCTAGTGTCGTTTTGATTACAACTAGCGCCCGAATATAGCTGCTTGCACTTTTGACGATACCTACGACATCTTTCCGCATTTAGTTGCATTTTACTTACAATTTCTTCTGCAACAGAATTTTCAGGTACAAGCTCACTGCTTTGAACGATAGACTTATTATGTCTAGAACTCGTTACTGAACCGCTACTAGTACTCGGCGTAACCTCCGTTACCATGCTACTAACTAAATAAATTTAAATTTAATAAAAGAAGCGAAAATAAATTATAATAATATAAAAAACTAAATTTCGACTTGTGCTTGTACCTCGACTCGCGTTCGTATCAAGGTCTCTAGTGTCTTGATCAATACTGACTCTCAATTTTAGCCGCTTGCATTTTTCACGATACCTACGGCATCGTTCCGCATTTAGTTGCATTTTATGTAGAATTTTTTTTGAAAAAGGCTCACCGCTTTGATCGATAAACTTTTTATAAATCAGCATTTCATGTGTTATCAGTCCACTAGCTAAATAATTTTAAATATATTAAATGATCCGTATATAAGTTATAAAACTACAGAAATTGCATTACCAAGATCCTTTTTCCTTTTTCTATAAGCACGAGCTCTTTCAGCATTCTGTCTCCTACGTCGTAAAACTAATTCATCCACGAATATTTCCACACCAGTATTTTCCTGGTTTAACGGTTTGTTGTAATCACTAGCTGTACTTATGTTCATCCGGATGAAATAAAGAAACACCATTTACAATCGAAGGCTGAGAATATGGATGCTACCAGAAATGGTATATACAGACAGACGGATATGGATAAATAATGACTTATAACATTTGTCAAAGTGATTGATAACTATTTGCTCTACTTGCTCGTATTTACTGGAAAACAGTTATCGTTTTTCATCCTTACCTCGTTCCCTAACGCTACACTCATATTTATCAAACATTGCCTTTCTGTTTTGGTCTAACAGCTGTGTTTTTTTTCGTTTTCGTTTCGGTGTTGTCGTTGCCAATCATCAAAATGATATGAAAAGTTTTTGACATGGGGTTGAACGTACCCAATGACATATGTTCCCAATCGTTTTATAGCTCTCTAAAAAGTAACATTTGGACTCCAAAAGGCAAAATTTTCAAACGAGTAAATGCAGCATATACGAAGAACCGCAGAGATACTGCTACTATTTTTACAAACCGAACATAAAAATTAAGGAGCTTGAAATGTGATGCAGCAAAACAAACTTCTCTGACTAAGTTAAAAAAACCGGTAAATCCGTCAAAAAGAGCTATGGCAGGAAAAGCATTGCAAGTATTTACTATCTATGCAATGAAGTCACAAAAATAGTTCAAAGGGATAAGGGGAAAGGATAGACGTGATAAAAAAAGATGAAAACAATCGGGAGGACCATAAGATCGGAACCAGACGCTATTATTTTAGGTAAATAAAACTTGTTATTGCCTTGAAGAATTCACACGTGAAAAATTAAGCAATCATGAGAGCCGAAACGTTCTAGAACGCCCTAGAGGGAGTAAATGGTGAGATGACTGTAATACTACAAAAACACAAATTTACTATTACCAGAACTTGCTCGAGATAACCACTACCGAAATGACAAATACTTACATACACTTATGTGTATGTAAATATAGAGAGCTGTAATGTGACATGCGACTGATGGACGAAAAAATTTAACGCAGTAATAAAAAATTTCACTTTAAATAAATAAATATGTTTCTATACTATACCCATTTCGAATTGAAGATTGTTCCCAAAGTCGTCACGAGTGAAGTGCTTCATGCATATAAAACTAGTTTTTGGATTAAAGTAGTCTTCTCGCCGACAAAATTCCACCCACTTTTTTGCCAATTCCATATTTGAAGGGAAAATGTAGAAGCTACAATTGGAGGCTTTTGAGTGATTATCGCTGCGACAATTTGCAACTGCACATTTCATTTTTATATCAGTTATTTTTAAATTTACTACAATATATAGTATTTGGTTGTAATATTATATTTGTTTAAATAAATTGATTACTTTTGTTAAAATTACACATTCTTTGACGTAGCGAAAAAATACAACAATACCCACACATAAGGATTCATTAACATTTGCTAGCCTGACGTCAGCAAACAGCTGATTATGTCAAATCTAATACGAACAACTTTTCACACGAGCAAAATATTTCACAAATTTTTCCTGTTTTGTAATAATCAAAATATCTATTTAACACAGCTGTTAATTGTTTTTGTTTTGTCGTGTAGAACTGATGAGGCACTCCCAACAAAAATGTAGATCCATATTTTCCACATAACTTAAAAATTTTAGTGGTTGTTTATTAAACTCTTCTCCTGTTTCGCCCTGAGCAACGACCTTCTATCTGCGTCAGCTAAAATCTCTGCCGAGTTTAGCGATTGTAACATGTCCCGCTTAACTTTATTTTGCCATTTTAATGGTAATGTACACGTTGCGCGGAATATTGCATCAAAATAACTACGCAAGCATAATTCATTTTGTGTCATGTTTTCCTCACTAATGTCCGGTATATCCATACGTATGTTCTCCAAAGGTGTTTGTGTCTCAGCAGATGCTCTTATTGACGATATAGTTATTGCAGGAATACTACCTTTTTCTGCTTGTTTACTTTCACTTGTGTTCAAAACGTTCTCTTCTATTACTTTATTCATCACTATATATGGCACTATAAAATGCATTTCACTATTGTATTCCCAATAATTTGAATATGATTTAGCTCCACTTTCATTACCATTTTGTATAAATTTATTGCGATAGCATGTCATAAAATGAGTATTCAGATCTTTCCAAACTTTTTTCGCCTCTGCAACTAAAATTAGTTACAGGTATTAGTGAAAACATATATTGAGTATAGATTGTTGTTAAGTAAAATATATTACCATTGTCATAACCACATTGCAGCGCCACACCTTTCCAAATTCTGTTTGTATGGTCGGCATCCAAATAGTTTTCATGCCGAATATCATACAAGACTTTATTCGTTCGTACTGCTTGTATCAGAGACAATATTTTTGGATCCTTGTCTAAAGGCATGTCTGTGTGTTTCGTCTAACAAAAATTAAGAACTTAAAAATATTATTATAAAAGGTAAATAGTAATTATATTATATTATTGAGGATTTTTCTAGTTGTAACAATTTAATTAATAGTTTTACTGGATGTAAACAAATAAACGTTTAGCGCAGCAGCTGATTTAATCAGTATAATAATAAACGTTCTCTGTTAGTGCTTGTAAACAAAGCCGGTGAACATATCTGTGATGTCGTAATTAAGACCTATTAAACACAGCTAGTTTCCATGACTGGAAATATCACTTTTATTTCTAAAAGCTAATAGCAATTTATATTTCATATGATAACTGCAAATAATTTAATATTTCTGGTCAACTTATACCAAATGTAAAATATTTCATTTTATTTTTAAACATATTTACATGTTATAAAAATTAACACTAGTAACAAATGAGACAAAAAACACATCTAACCTATTACTTAAGCCAATTGAACACGTCTAGACGAAACGATAGAAGAAGAAACGTCTGTCATCGCAGTCATGTGAAAATGATAGAGGAAATTCACTGATTGATTGATGGAGATTGACGTGTTTTCAGAATATAGAGCGGTAGCAATTTGTTTAAACTCAGACAGAAAATTCACTTTTGGCCTTTCGTTTATATACAAGTCAATGCATGTATTCGTGTAGCTGCATTTGCTCACTACCGACTGCATATACGTAAGTGGGATTGCCATCATCCATGTGCAGTAGTGTTTCTTCCGGTATATGCTCTGTAACTTCTTCATTATCCTCCATAATCTCATCCTTTTCGTATTGTGTTGAAACTACAGGCTCCGTAGCATTAACATGTGTTTTAACATTTCGTTGACGTCCTAAGTTTCCAAGGCAACCTTCAAAAAGTATTTCAGCTATCGCTTTGCGTGCATAAATTCTTTGCTCCTGGGACATTTCTTCATACTGTATTGCCCACGATTTTGCTAATATCTCTGTAGATTCACTAATAGCAAGACCTGCTCGATATGACTGCTCCGCACGTCCTCTCGCCTCTTCCTTAATTATACCTGTTAATGGTGTTTTTCTGATTTGTCTAGTTGTTATGAGTTGCTCTGACAGTTCTGGTGGTGTAGATGCTATAGATTCAGCCGTTAGATTCTTACTACAGTCTTCGACAGTTTTTACATCTAACATATCATCGACAGTATGCGATGAATCATCAATGTTAATGATTTCATGATAGTCTTCAGTGTCTGCATCTCTAACCGTTTTGATTTCTTCATCATTTGGTGATGATATTATATGATGTTGCTTTTGGTTGGGAAATGTAAGTGAACGAAAATGATTCTGAAATTGCTGCTGAAACGAATTCTCGTCTAAATACTGAACCGCCTCTAAATGCTCCTCTGTTTCGTTACCATTATCAGATGCATATTCATATTTGTTAAGCTGAACTTTGTATTCGCTGGAGCTGTCTTGTGATGTGTGTGGCGATTCCAAAAGCTGTGATCTTACTTTCTCAATGTCCGATTGTGTTCTCACCATTCGCCGCTGCAAAGAGTAAATGACAAATAAACACACAAATAATTTTGTAAACCAAAAAATATATACAAATTACATATTTATAGATATTTTAAAATCTTACCAAAATTTTCTTATCACTATTCGGCACACGTTTCCGCTCTTTGCGAAACTCTTGGCTCCGCAAAAAGTCGAGCATGTGAAAGTACCAGAGTGAGGTATTATACCGTTTGCCCATTTGATTACTCGCTTTGATGCGTGTGCATTCACGTCGATAATTGGTACGAAATATGTTGATTTTGCGCAAAACATCTTCCCGACATGCATGCGGATCAATTTCGCGCATTTTCATCACCAATATTTCATAGCCGTGTGTTTTACTCTGCCGATCCTTATATAGCGGGTTACTGAGGTCCCACAACGCTGGCAAACTCTCATATAGCGCAAAAAACTCTGTCCAGAAAGAGCGCTTATCAATTGTGTGTGCATGCGGGCGGGCATTCGCCATTTTTTTGCTTGAAGCGGAATTGTATTTATATGTAAACAGCAATGCAACAATGTCAAAACACCGTGAATCACCGATAACGGCAGCGAAACGCAACTTCAATCACACTATTTGGCTTGTCCGGTCGGCTTGATTGCTCGACATCAACTGAGTCAAGCATCATTTTTTTCAACCGCTCTCCCTCTCTTTCAATTTGATTTTCCGTTTTCTTTTCTCTGTTTATTTTGATGAGCGTCGGCAGCAATGCGTAGCTGCGCTGAACTAATGTGCACATGTTTGTTGTTTGTTTAGAAATTTGTGTAGTACTGAAAATAGGTTTCTGTAAAATAATATGAAATAAAAATGTATCGCAAATCATGATTCAATTTAATTAATTGAATCATGTTTTAAATGATGGAACGAGGAAAATACTCTAAGCATCTACATTCGTATGTTTTCATATTTCTACTTATAGAAAATGACGGACCTTTACGGAAGCAAGGGCTTGCTTTTACAAATTTTTATGATTTTCGAACCTTTTCTGTGGTAGTCGGTTCCAGAACACGCTATGCTTTGAATTTAGATCGAAACTAAGTACATATATAGACGTTTGCTAAAAAAAATTAATTTTAAGCAAGCATAAAACATGTTTTTATCCACTCTGATCTATTTAAGTATTTTAAGTGATCTTGAACTTAAAAAATATATAGTATATAATTTGATTATCGATGTACAATAAAACTATTTGCCTTATTATAATTATTTGCTACCATCTAGGCGTAAATACACAAAATAGTCTCCGGTTTCGCAACCTAATTCTCCCCTGGGTAAGTAGAGAGTAGCTAAGATCTTCAAATATGACATTCATCTTATAATTCATTTTTATATGTATACAAGTGTGTTTTATACATAATTATATTTCACTTTAATTATTTAATAACCAAACTTTGTACCCTTCTGCCAGTACTTCGCTGCGCTTACCGTTGAATAACCTTGACAATCGCATTTGTCGAATGACAGGACAGGGAAACGACAGAGTTAATTAATGCAACAACTGATGCAAATATTTTAAATTAAAAAGAGTTATGATCTTTGTGGCCTTCAGCAGCTTATTTAGCATATTTTTAAGCACTTCAATTCAAAAACAAAGCAAACAAAATTTGAAGTGAGAGTTCTTCTTGAAAAGCTCTGCTTGCGGAAGCAGCGCAGTTTTTCTATATGCATAGGGAGCATAGCAGAGCCGTGTGTAGAAAAGAGAGTTGAGAGCCAAGGTTACCTGTTTGCCCACCCTGCTAATGCAAGTCCACCGAGGTTTGTTTATTAATACATTGCGGACTTTTCAAACATTCGACGCCGTCATAAAAACAACAAACAAAAGTGACTAAGACGGAACCCTTAAAAGAGAGATATGAGGTAATTATTAACGGGATCAAGCTATCATAATGCAACTCACAACAAATAGCCAGAACAGCGAGTGAACTTTTCAATTATAGCAAAGCATTCGCTACATTTGCGCAACCTCATATAACACAGGTGCTGCTATCTGAACTGGGAAGACCCCACGCTTAGACTTATGATATGTAAATACCGAATATGCAATTACACACATGCATGTACATATGTATATACATACATATGCTGCAGCAAAACAATGCCTGCTCATACATATATACTTATGCACATATGTGTGTTGATGTGGACACATTTACATTGTTCCGACAAAGCTTGCATTGGGACCGCATATCTGGTGTTGCCCAGAGACACGGCTACGAGACCTCATCTCACGCAGCAGCTGCGTAACTTATTCGATATATAGTGCAATTCTGTGTTGTGATTACGTCCATAATTTTGTATTTTTGCACGCTTGTTCGGTCGTTCGCTTGGCTGTTGCGCCCGGTCGAGCTCTGTACCCGAGGCTTGGACTCACTCAGCTGTCTCTTTCGTTATACACTTCACTGGTCTTGCTTTACGTGTTGGTGCCGCTCTTCGGTGACGACGCCACACATCTATGTGCTACGAGTTTCGCGTTATGGAGCTTGTTCGGTCTGTTTTCTGGTGTATGACACTCAGTCGCGCGTCGGGTTCCTTGTAAATTTCACGTGTTTGGTCTGGTTTTGCAACAGTTTGCCGGTTTTAACTTTTAGCTGTGGTTGTTGTTATTGTTGTGCGTTTACCGAATACTTGCTTTGCATTTTTATTTTTTATTATCGCGCGTGTTTGTGACTTTGCATTTGCTTTTGCCTTCGCCAGACGGTAAACACCCATATGTATGTGCGTATGTTTGTGTACTCGTAATAAATTTCCACTTTGAAAAGTGGTGGAGGTAGCGAGAGCACTTTTGCGTTGTTTTGATTATTGCTGTTGTTGTTGTGTCGGCTTTATTTGATTTCATTTCGATTTTGTTCTTTTAAAGACAGACGAGCTCTAGCCAGAGTGTTGGAGTTCGGAAGAAGTACAATTGCGGATCTGCCTTTCTGCCTTTGGGTTCACATTTTTGGAAGGAGATATGAAAAATGTAAGTGCACAGAGCCGGTATTTATTATTCTCAATCATTCGTAATTTTATTTAAACGCTTTAGCATAAAGTGAATGTAGTTGCTTGAAGAGGTTTTTGTTTTGAAGCTATAGGTAGTCAATTATTATGGATATATATCTACATAAGTTCATACATACATACATATGTACATAAGTAGTCTGAAGTGATAGAGAGAAATTACGGGCGGTCCGTTAGGGTCTAAAATTGTGTAATTGGTAGTATAGTTAGTAAAACACCGAAACAACCATATGCTTGCGAACCAAAGCTGTGGAGGGGAAGACACTTTTCAACGGAGGGAATTTATACCGAGTCATTTGTATTTGGCACTCGCTTAAAAACACTAAATATTCGGCATGTGTGTTCTAAGAGATCAGACATACATATTTATTAATTTCTTTTCAAAATGTCACGTGGCACAGACATGATCGAAGATGAACGAAAAAAACAACATTATTCGATGGTGAAGTGAAATCTTTTCACGAAATATCTTAGCGCATTAATAGAAGTTATAAAGTAGTAGGACATTTTTTAAGAGATCATAAAACATATGGTATTAAAAATGATCATTGTGGAAGAAAAAAATCGTCAACGTCGTGCAAATCGTGATTGTCAACGTCTGGATATCATTCGTAAAGTGCAAAAAGTGAGAAAGCTTGAGTGAAATTATTGCCGATTTATATATGTATGAAACAAAATTTTAGTCATATGTAAATATTATAATAATTATCAACCAACTTATATATATACGGTATTTATGCGCATTTGCATACTTCTCTTTACATTGATATCTTTTGTTTCATTAGCATTGTTTTCATTCTATTTTTAATTTTTTGTTGTAGATGGAAGAATCACCAGCTGTAAGAACATATTTTCTAAAGGAAAGACAGAATAAAAGTTATAATATTGACAAATTAATTGAGGAACAAATGCCTGTCAGAAAGTTACTGAGTAAGGGCACACGGAAATCGCTGCCCTCTAAGCAAACAAAACAGGCCTTCCATAATCAATACACTGTAAGATTTCATAAAAAGTTAACTAACTATTATTACTGGTGCACATTTACAAACTAAATATTGAAATATGCATTTTACGAGTAAACTGGTGGCTTGCTAAAATGCCGGTCAAATGGAATACATAGTAATTTAAGGGGTTAGACCAGTGTAGAGCGTTGTGAAAACGTCTCTTTATTCTGGGAGTGAGGAAAAAATAATCGAATTTCTCTTTTTCATGCTTTAATATATTGCATTTGCGCGTATAAAATTTTATATTGACACTTTCATATAAAATGTCCGTTCAGTCTTCATTTTTTAAAGGGCCGCTACGAGCGTTTATGATACTAGGAATGTGTGCTATTTGAAACAAAATAAAAAACAGGATCTTCATCTACATAAAACTTGCTAGTAAAATAAATTTTTCACAAAATAACAGACTTGTAAAAAAAACTTTAAATTTTTACCAAAAAATTTGTTATATAAAAAAAAGTTGGTGCAATAATAGCCCAAAAAAAACTAAGTACGAAGCTTACGATATAATATAAATGTGAAATTATAGTCAAAATTTCCAGCGGATACGTGCGATCGTCTCCGAGTGCTAACGACGTCCGATTTCAAAGAATATCCTTTTTATTAGTTTACCGATGCTAGAACGCTAAATGTACATTTAAGCCCAAACCAAAAGGAATCTATTTTTTGAAAGTCCTTGACTGAACTAACCTCTTAGAGACACTGAGACACTGGTAAATTATATACATATAGTTTTCATATCAATATATATAGTGACTCTGTTTTTTATGAGTTTTTTTTTTCAAAAAAACACCAAATTAAATTACTAACAGCGAATCTTTTTTGTAAATGACATAACTCAAAATTGTTTGCTTTTGAAAAAAGTTATATACTTAGATGAGCATAAACATTTTATTTTTCGAATTTTTTTCAATATTTTTGGAAGACTTTGGAAATTTGCCACTAGAAACTTTTCATTTAAAGCATAACTTCATACAATTTAATCACACACACATACTTGCATACATATGTATATACATATTACCATATACTAAATATTTAACTCATATCCAATAATTTGTATCTGCTTACATTCCATCTTCCAGCCCACACGCTATGAACGTGAACGCGCCACAATGAAGAACAAGCCGCGCAAGGTGCTCAATCTGGAAGAGCGCGTACTGGCCATACGCTTGTACCAAGAGAAGCCGGTATACCAGCGTGTGGCTTCCATCTTCAAGTGCAGTTGGGAGCAAGTACGCAACGTCATAGCTAATCGCGACGACATATTGCGCTATTATGGCGAATGTCAGACTGTGACGCACAAGGATACGCCGCAATTTGCGCGCAACAAAAAAATCAACTTTCTCGGCAATATCACATACGAGTTTGTGCGACGCGCCTACTACCATCGCAGCGCGACGCTCAACGATGAAACTTTGCGACAGCGTGCACTCAAACTACGTGACATCCTGCAAATCCAACAGTTTCATCCGAATAAGGCATGGTTGGCCGATTTCAAGAAGGTCTACAATGTAGAGTGGCAAAATTTGGACGCGCTAATTATATGCGGTGTACCGCCTCGTTCGCTTGATAACAAGGATTTGATTGAATATTGTACACGTATGATTTCGAAGGCGCAGTCGATGATAGGTAAAGTGCCCAAACCGCTGTCAAAGAAGGAGAGCTCGCAACTCTACGATACAGAGGATGCGGATAATGAGTCGGCCAGTAGTGATGACGCTGGCGTTGGTGGTGGTGTTGAAGGTAGTTTCGATGACAACGCATCCGAATCGATGTTCGCTGAGCAATTCGATAACGTGCCTGTGGTGAATGAAATTGACGATTTTTCCGGCACTTATTTAGACACACCAGACAATGAAGATGAAGGCTTCAATGGTTTTGAGCCCACAGGCGCCAACAACAATTACGCTGACACTATGGAAACAGAAACATACGATTTACCACGTACTACCGTAAGCCACGAGGCTGCAGCGCTCACAGAAATAACAGCGGAGCCAGCTTTGTTAGCCGAAGTGCAGATTAAGCAGGAGCGACGCAGTCGCAGTCGTAGCCGCAGTCCGCCATTGCTATCGCCATTGACCGTGACAAGTGGCACGAGCACAAGCGCCACGACAGCGGGTGGTGGTGGTGGTGTTGGCGTCAAACGCAAGCATTCAGCTACAACAACACCAAATACAACAACAAATAGTGGCGAATCAAATAGCAAGCGTATAAAAACCGATGTTATGACCACTTACGCGGAGGCGTTGCGCAATTTGTGCCCTTTAGAGGACTTCGCGGCGCAGCAAGAGGATTTTCAGGCCATAAATTTGTTGATGCAATTGGCGCGCGTCTTCGAGAAGGGCGCTAAACGCAGTACTGCACAAAAACGAATATTTAATTCGTAATTAAAGCTTTCTGAAAAATAAAAAAAAATTATTTAAAAAAATATGTATGTATGTATGTACGTTTATGAATACGAGAGTGTGTAAATATGTTAGTTTGAGGCTCTCTATGTAGATATTCCGTGCATTAAGTGATGCATAAGAAGTTAATACACAAGAGTAATATAAATAAAATGCCCCACAATTAATCGAAATATTATATAATTTGTATAAGGTTAAGCATAGCTGAATAAATTTAATGTTTTCTATATGTACATACAAGCGTTTTGTATATTTTCGTTGTGAAGCGCCACGAAACTCTCTTATTTGCGTTTTGTCGGCACATTTCGGTCTCTTTGTCAGAGCGTAATTTGTAGCACGCGGCAATCTCATAATTTCTACGGATCGCTGATAACTGATTCATGAATTTACAAACTTTTACATTTTGCTGCTCTGGACACAATTGTGTCCACAGTAACAACGGTAATAAGTAAATACAAATACAAAATTTATTGACTCACAAAAGTTGGGTCGCCACTTGGCGTGTTTGCATGCTTGTTCTAAATATAATTGCCAGTTTTTTTTTGCGATAATACAATGCAGTCACATTAACTGCCACGATGAGAGGCCAATTTCAGTGATGAGAGCGCGTTTTTTCAGGCTTTCCGTGATGCAGAGCGTGGAGAGTGAATGTGCGCATTATCGTGTATATACTCATGTGTATATATTTACATACTATGTCTATGAAACAATTTACTATTCATATATAGTTTGTATGTACATAGGCATATGAACTAGCCAACGCTGACAGACGCTTTAACTCAGTGGGCAGACATGCGCATTGGTGCTCAGGTCAACGCTAAAAGAAGATGTTGATAATATGCACACGATTTCCTATTTATGCTCTTACATACATATGTACATATGTACCTCTCATATATAGCATATAGAAGTGGAATGGACGTTTGTTTAGGTAATAGATTTTAGAGCTATATTTTCTGCTTATCAGACCTCAGCAGGCAGGCATTAGTCGCACTAATACTTAGGTACATAAGTATGCCTCCGTAAGTAAAAAGTTTAAATGGATGCATATTTTATTGAAAAACAAGAAAAAACGTTATCTTCGGCTGCACCAACACTGTAACACCCTTCACAGTTGATTATCTCATAGCATAAAATAATATAAAGTCATCTTTATCTTGATTTTGGTCGATCTGTTTGTACCGCAGCTAAATGCTGTAGTAAACCGATCTGGAAAATATATTTGGAGATTTTACCATTGCCTTGGACAATAACCCGTGCTTAATTTCGTGAAGATATCTTGTCAAATAAAAAAGTTTTTCATACACTTGGTGTGAGAGCTATATGCTGTAGTGGTTCAAAATCGGCGGTTCCGAATGAGCAGCTTCTGGGAGAGAAAAGGGCCTGTGCAAAATTTCAGATCGATATCTCAAAAAAACAAGGAACTAGTTCGCGTTTATACAAGCAGACAGACCGTCATGGCTAAATCGATTCAGCTCGTCATGCTAATCAAAACCTTATAAGTCGGATGGTGACTTACACACCTACATATATATGTATTTATATGATAATCGCGTTTGGATATTTAGGGAATACATAGGCTCTATCGAAATGCGGTTCTTAATGCCGTTTAATATAAATGAAAAGCCAATGCGAGTGAACTGTCAGTATCAATTTTTTAGTGTAATTCCTTAAAAGAGAGACACGAAGAAAAATAAGTTTATAAAAACAAAAAAAGACAATACTTAAAACTTTGAGCGTCCAGTTGACTTATGATAAGCTTTAAACGCCTGATAAGACAAAAAGAGATCTCATATACGAGTACATTTATACCCATATTAAGGCTTACAATTCGACACAGTTGAATTAGAATTGAAACAACTCAATTTTAAAACAACTTAACTCTACGACGGTGACAACACAACTTTAGTGACAGGTTGAGTTGTTATTAATAATGCCCAATTGGAAGCTTTCAACTGAAGTGGAGTTGAGTTGTAAACACTAATTTGATTGAGTTATAATATTTTCTGCATAGCTTTGCTTTCAACTAAGTCGAGATGAGTAATTATATAATATTACCATAACTTGAACTTCTCGTAGTACAATTTTTAATAATCATAATATAACATGGATGCCCTTATAAAAACTATAAAACTCTCACTATTGAAAACAGCTGAGAAGTAGCTGAGGATAAAACGCTTAATGTATTACACTGTAGATGATCAAAGTCGGATCAGTATTTTTGCAATATAAAATTTTTAATTTTTTGAAGATCCGATTTTGACCTCTTATAGCAACTAAGATACCATCTGATCAAATTTGACCCAAACTAAAAAAAAAACTGTATTTTTACGCATTTTATACAAATTTTTATAATCGCTTTCAAAATAGACTTTTGAACCAATACAAAAATATCCAAGCTTAGTGAAATTTTGGTTTTTTTCGATTTCGGTGTTTTTGGAGCGCTATTCGCTAGACTGTCGTGGACTCACGTCTCGTTACAACTAATGAAGCGTTTGATGAATGTGGGCTCCCCTGCTACGTTGTCAAGCATCTCTTTTGCGATCTCTACTCGGCGTCGTTTTTGCATGAGCACGCCTCATACCCAAATTCATAATCCATCCATAAGTGAAATTGAGATTCTCTGCTAACTCTCCAAAGCCAACACGACTATTTTCAAGCACTGTTTTTTTTTTAACTTTTTCGATGTTATCGTCATCAACAGAGGTGGATGGTCGACTCGCATGAGCCAAGTTTTCGATGACTTTACGACCTTCGTTTCGTGTCGCTCAAATATTTGTGTTCGTGGTAATCTAGGGGAAAAAAATGGATCGATTCGGTTTGTCTACACTTATTTTCTGATATTCTACTAAATGCAATACAAGATTTTTTTTTCAAATTCATTTTTATTAAATTTTTAATTGAATCAGTAGCTTCTCTAAAAGATATAAGCACCTACGTACATACATACATACATATGTATGTACACATTTGCAATAATATTATTTCATTGTATACATACAAACATATGTATTTACTTCTTGTGCAAAAAAATATTAAATAAAGTATTAAAACTCATTTGAAAAATAAAATATTTCAATAAAAAACAAATGAAAACCAAAATGTGTAATTCCAATACATGTGTATGTATGTAATATAGTAACTATATACATAAATGTGTCCCTAGTGCTCTTCTACTTAGAAATATGTGTTTATATAAACCGCTATTTATGAAAAGAATGGCTTTGTAAATAGGGTACATACATAAACGTACATACTCACACAAGTATGTATGTACATACGTTTTTCTCACTTCGCTTACAAACTATGGTAACAATTACCGGCTTTGGTATTCATAGAAAAAGCTATACTCTTAAATTCTACGCATGAATATACAACATCTGTGTATGCATGTATGTATTAATTATAAATTAGAAGTATTTGTATACATATTATAATACACTCATAATTAGTTTATAAATAACAACTCAATCCACATCCACGTCGTCGTCACCGTCGAGCTCTCGCAGAACTTCATCGGCACGCGTGATCAAACCGATCAGTCTAAAGTTCTCCTTAACCAGCGCGAAATCTTCCAAAAGTTTCAGATATTTACGAGCCTCCGAACAGGATTTGATGGGCGGCAGCATGTGCATATTGTTTGTCGCGTGCTTGCGTTTATTCGCCAAGCGATTTATAACGGCATCCGGTGCTTTTGTCAAAGGCGGCAAGGGCGGTGTAAAGCATAGGGCTCTACTCATAGCGGATATATTGGCGGCGGGTATGCAAGTAATGGCAGTCGTCGATGTTGGCAAGCTCTGACGTTCAGTCGTGCCCGATGTGCTGGGGTTTAATGTCGCGGGTAATATTGTGGGTTTTGGTGCCAAAGGCGGCACAGCCGACGCGGCGATAGGACGTACGACGGTTGCTGATGCTGTTGAAGTTGCAACAAGTTTACCTTGCGTCTGTATGAGTCGCCGTAAATTGGCTAAAGCTATATTTTCATCATCGGCTGTTTCTGGCGCGCTGACGCGCTCCGCAACATCCATACTGCCGCTAGAAGATGTATCCACTTCTGGTGTAAATGTTGTAATATTATTGTTAATGGCATTCTCTTGCAACGCAGTGTTTGTTTTCATAGCAACCTCATTAGACTCCGTTTGCTCCTGCTCCGTTTGCTCGTCTTCCTCAGCGTCTGAAATATATTCTTGTTTGATTTCAACCGGCTCCTGCTTGATTTCTTTCTTAATATCCAACATCGGTGGTGGCACATTTGATTTCTCGGCATCCGACGCCGGTGTGGCAGCAGTTGCGGTTGCTGTTGCCAGTGCGGCAGTCAGTGTAGTTGGTGTGGCAGTTGCTGTAGCTGTTACAGTTGCCGCAGCTGTGGTCGAAGTCGCTTGCATGCTCTGCGATTGTGCAATAGTCGCCAGCGGTATGATTGTCATGGTCATTGGTTTGGCGCCAGGCATCTGACCAGCCGGCGTAATGGGTGTGGCCACCAGCACCTTCTGTGGCATACCTGCGACATTGCCTTGTAATGGCAATGCGACCAGTTGACGGAATGGTGTCAATTGTGGTGTTGCAAGGTTGTGCATGACTGGTGACGGCGTGTTCTTCTTTTGTAAATTGGCGGCTAATTGATTATTCGTCATATTTCCGTTGGGGTTTGTGATATTTATGCGTTTCACAATTGGATTGCCAGTTGCATTGAGCGTGCTACCAGTTGGTTGTGGCATGTTGCCTGCAGCATTGCTTTTAGTGCTCGGAGCATTGCCGCCTGACTTCAGTCGTCTACGCTTTGCTTCCTGTTCAGCATTGCCATCTTGCGCTTTTGTATTTTCCGTATTATCACACTCCTCCTTAATCTCTTCCACATCATCGTCGTCGCCTACGTCATCGAGCGACTGCGTCTTGCTGCCTGCATCCGGTGTGCACTCGTTGAGCACATCCTTCATGACATCCTTTATTTGCACGGAATAGCCTTGTGTGTAGCCAATATTCAGGAGTTTACTGTCGGTCGTATGGATTTTGTATGTCTGTCGAAATTTATCACACCAATCCTGATGTGGAAAGAAATTCTGCAGGCCCATTGCGCTTTTAAATTGCAACGCCGTCTTCTGTATGAGTCCATCCGTTATTTGTATGTCCTGGTAGTAAATCATGCGGCGTAGCCAATCGAAGACCGCTTTGCCCAGCATCGAGACGCGCACCACTTTCATTTCGAGCGTTTTTGCGTCGTGACAGCGACGCGTACGCTGCTCCCAAGCCTCGAGTATGCTGTCTTTCTGCTGTACTATGCGCTTGATCTGGTCGGGGCTGCAGTGAAACATGCGTCCGATACGTTTATACACCGGCGACTTTTCGTACTCGCGTATCGCGGCCACTTTTTCGTTGAGCGCCAATACATTTTTTCGACGTATTCGTGTGTCGTAGAGCATTTTCTCGTGGAATGGCTGTGCCAACGCTGCTGGGGGGTTCTGTAAAGTCAAAGAGAGAAAAGTGCATAAGTGAGTATGTGTGAAGAATTAGTCATTCGTGAAAAGTGATTGAAGTGGAAAAAAGTGTAATACTATATATACATATGTGTATGTATATAAGAGTCTGGTGGCATGATCATGAGTATATATGCATATATGGTATAAGAGTATGTGTGCAAGTACATTTCGTCATTCATTAAATGCATTCAAAGACTTTTGGCTGACACGCCTCATTTAATGCCGTAGATTTAATTTCTTCCGCGAATCATCTAAATGAGAGGTGAAAAAAATAACCGTCTATAAATATTATATATGTATATTTGTATATATACATATATAATCACTATGAACCCGATCCACTACTTTTACTTTCTATTAATTTTGGACTTCTTGGTTTTACATTGTTTTGAAGGTTGGCTAAAGTAATGTTAAATTAAATATGCGTACATATATATCTCATAAGCTACTTAAGCTGTCTGAACCCAGTTGCTGAAAATTAATGTTGTTGCTGCTATCCAGATCCTGTTTTGGTAGCAAGTAGTAAGTTAATTGTCATTAAAGTCATCTAACGGGAGGCCCAGGAAACGTGCTGTTTCGCTGAGTCGAACCATAGAGGAAAAGTGTTAAGAGTCATGTGGAGACTCCGGTCGCTGGGTTACCATGACCACAATTCCCACAACAGCCGGTTTAATGCTATCGGACTTGACCCGGATTTTATGCGGCCTAAGACTGTTATTTCGACGATCTAAAGATGAAAAATGAATTTTCGGCCTGGTGCCAAAATCGTAAAAATCGGATAACTACCGGGCGTAATGCCCTTATGGCGCTTTTTTAAATTTCACCACTCCTGAGGCTTGTGACATTCCTAATATGAGGTAAAAACTGTTTTAAATTAAAACTGCGAAATCGGCTAATAGCATCGCCTAACCAATAAATTAGATAATATCGCATCCGTTGTTGTTGATGTAGGGCAGAAAACATTCCCAAAATAAATTTGATGAATGCTTCAGAGTAGACAGTGCTTGGTTCTATTTCACCCGGTCCTGTTACATTCACCCGATTGTCGTGGGAAAGATCGTCTATATTATCGCCTGCTTTCCTGTGTAACTAATACTCTGAGACTCGTACTATTTTGTATGCCTATTTCGAACAAAAAAAACAGATATCTTAATGAAACTAAATCTGAATAAGATTCCGTACTTCGCGGATGTCAATGTATCAATGTGGACTTTAAAAAATCAGACATAAAGTTAATATTAAGCGCTTTAACCACTTACATTCTCGGACTTATACGCATCGGTGCCATCTTCATTAGCGTCATCGTCGCTGTCATCCAACTCCTCGGCTGCAATCGCATGCTTATCGGCCACCTTTTCGTGCTCCTTCACTTTCATCGCGCTGTCGTTGTGTTGAGCTGTGTTTGTGTTGTTGTTGTTGTTGTTATTGTTATTGCTTTTACAATTGCTGTCAATGCTATTCTGGGTGTTATGCCCATTGATATTATTATGACTATGCCGGTGCTGCTGCTCAGCAACAATTTGTTGTTGTTGTGGTCGCTGCTGTTGTTGTTGTTGAGCGCTACCACCGCCGCTGGTGCTGCGCACACGGAGGGGTTTTCGCTTGCCGCGCGACAACAAATTTCTCAAACTTCGCAATTTCTTCGGACCCAGCGTGGATGACACCGTGGCCGCCCTTATAGCTGCGCTCGACGTCACCGATGTGGCGAGATGCACGGGCAAGCGCACGCGTCGGCCGACACGACTAGTCGTAGTCGTGGCCGTGGTGATGGCGCTGAATAACGGCGGTTCGACTGTTCGACGACGACGTCGCGAATGTTGTTGTTGCTTCGGCGTATCCGATGCGAACGCCGTAGCGGCTGACACCGTTGTAGACGTCGTCGTGGCTGATTGTACTATTACACCGTGTGTACCTTTGCAACGTTATCGTTTTGGTTGGTGCGACGGCTGGTGCTGCTGCAGCTGATATTGTTGTTGTTGTTGTTGATGTTGTTGTTTCGCTTTGTCGTGCAATTGCATTCACAATTGGTCGCCACACTTCTGTAATATACAAATTCAGTTTATTTTTCTTTCTTCCATTGCATGCACGCACACACACTTACACATGCATATATGTATATACACATACATGTAAACACACGTCAATGCACTTGCTTAATATGCTGCGAATTTATGAATATATGCACTTCTATCTTCCAAATCCAAACCGATATGACAAAACACAATGCACTTAAAAAGCGATTCTAAATGTGCTTTCCTCCCTTCTACGCTGCGTATGCCCACAAACATACACACATATGTATATACGTTCGTAGTTTAAAACGTGTGTATTTGCTTCGTAGACGTTTCCACAAACTGCTGTGTTTTGCTTTGTTTTCGGCTGTGCTGTGCTGTCTGGTGATGGGCGGACGGGCGTTCGTTGTTCTGTTGCTCTTTGCGAACGCACACAACTCGTAGTAAACGTATGATGTAGAAAATTTTCAACCAGATTGACAGAGCGCGGTGTCCCAACTAGAACTTTGCGTTTGTCTAGAAGCGGAAGCAACCAGCAAACCAAATAACCAGTCAGCCAGTCAGCCAACCAATACATAAGTACGTCAACGAGTCGAGTCGAGTCAGCGCCGCTGAGTCGTCGTCGTCGTTGCTAGCTATCGTTCTAGTGTTTTAACCAACACACATACGCATGTGATTGTGCCAGGCCATGCGGAGAGCCCGAGAGCATTTGCCGCACAATAACCGCGTTGGTCGTCTCTTTGCGCTTGCTCTTTGCGTGGCATTACAGCGTTTATCGCTGCTGGCGATTTATTTCACATACATACACATACGCATACAAATATATGTGCTTACGTACCAGTGTGTTCTTGAAGTTTATTCAGCATGACTTTGGGTGCTTGCTGTTTGCTTTTTTCATTTGTTCCGTGTGTTTAATTTCGCTTTCGTTTGAGATTTGGAAATTTTGCTTTCGTGCGCATCTGCAGCACATTTCTCACCGTCGCGCTCTTCATAGCCATCACCGTTCTGAACAGCCCAAGCTACTGGCCGCTCATGTGCTTCTGTGGTTATTGTGAAATTTATGAAATTAGCGCTGCTTTCGGTTTGCTTTTGGTTGGAAAGAGCGCCGGCGTTTGACTTCTATTAACGAGTAGGCGCATATACTTATAACACAAACAAACATATAGAGCTATCTATTAGTTGTTTAACATGTGTTGTTGCAATTATATTTTGTATTATCAATTTTTTGTTCTGCCTCCGTGTACCATATATGCATTAATACATTTAAAATTATCAAACTATATTTCAAATATATATTTAAAAAGAGATTAAAAGATTAATTTCATATAATAAAGATTATCGAGCCATAAATTTGTCTTTAATTTATAGAAAACTAACCTGTAAATTCACTTTATATAAAGTAACTCGTAGACAAAGTCGATCGATTGTTTATCAAATAAGATCAATGGAATCCATTAGCCCTGCAAACCGCATAAATACATATGTATACCTATACATACATATGGCGATGTCTGTATATACTATTAGTACATTGAAAACCTTGCTATATAACATACAAACATACTTACAAATGTACAATAGTTCAGAAGTCAATTCGCGATCGCTGGTTTTTTAATTATCGGAGTACATAATGCGGTAGTTGGATCATAGTACATATGTATATAAATGTATGCTGTCTGATATTTTCCCTTTATTTAAAAAAAAAGAAAGTCCCACCCAAAATAACACTTATAACAACAGTAGCAACAAAGTCATAAGCTGTGGATATAAGACATGGCTCTGATTCTTATGATAATAAATTAAATTTGCATATAAGGAAATGTACATATCTAGATACATTGTTTTTTGCACAGGATCTACACACCATTAATACAGCAGCATTGACACCATCTCACCAGTGCTTCGAGTGAAAAGCAATCGAAATGATAAGAAACATAGCCATAGATAAGCTGTACCGATTAGGTGACCACAATCATTCCACAAACAATATTCTTGAGTTATTAAACACATTTGGACGAGGTGTTATGAATATTTGAGGACTCACAGAACAGGTCTGATTTTAATTCATTTCAAAGTATAGAGTAAAGGCGGTTTAAAGGGATATATCCACTTGCAATTTAGAAAAAATGCGTTTTTAGTGATTTTTTTTTTTGAGCATTAAAAATATTATACATTTAGAGAATTCAATGTACTTTAATAATTGATGATTGATTTTGAAAAATGTTGCATTCCCTTGATCCTGTAGCCGATCTAAAGTAAGACTTCCGAAAAAGGTGTCTGGCGGTGGGCAAGATTTTCTCGCTTAAAATTATGATTACCATCAATCAGGTAATGACAAATATATCTAAGAAGAACACATGAAAATTTCAAGTCGATCAGTCTAGCCGTTTCGGAGAAGTTTTTCTCACCGACTCTGGAAACAACATTTCGAGAAAAATGCGTTTGAAGTTTTGGGAGCCGATCACGCTAAGCTAAAAATATTTTACAAATACGCTCACATCTCCGAAACTATTTGCCGGATTAACTTCGAAATTTTGAATTATATTCTTTAATATACATACATACATATGTATATATATGTTTGTATGTATATTCGATACACATATATGTCAATACAAGTATGTACAAATAAAGATACGATTTTTTGAAATACTATACAAGTGAATAATAACCTCTTAGGTGAATACATAACACTAAATTCCATACATTTTTTCTCACACTAATTCTAGTGTATCTATTATAGTAATATCTATAACAAATATGTAATTCCACCATATTACTTCATGATCAAATTTTGATCATAGATAGGGTATGTACATACACATTTCAAAAGTAATACATGCATACATACATAAATATACTTACATACAAACATACATGTATATATATTTACCAATTGTATAACGGTACGAAAATACTTGAACAGATTTTTTTTTTGTGGATTCGAGTGATTTAAGTACGTAAAACGTCCATAGTTCAATTGGAGTGAGATGGCCTAAGCAAACCTCAAATAATTACATCTCAAATAAGACCTGTAAAATATAAAAAATAAATTAATTCTTACATAATTTCGCTTACTTAAATTTACGCCCAGCAAAGCAACGTAACAAAATGACGTACATATTTATGTACATATGTACATAGTTACGTACTAAATAAAGCACCTAAAGTTGCAATTGCGCATGTCAAGCAAATCTTATCGCTGACTTCTGCTATAAAAATACACACACGATTGAATAATGCTCAAAATGTATGCATACGAGTATATACATACATTTATAAACAGTCGACGTCGCAGTTATTCGGATACCGCTGTGGCTACGCTCCACGATGAGATCGATCCCAGCGCTTGTATGTATGGAGGCATGTGTTTGTGGATATAGTATAAACCACCCCTTTCGCGCCAACCCTAAGCGTGCTCCGTTGCGCTCACAATGTCATTTGTTACCATTTGTTAAGAGTTAAATGAAGAGAAAATATATATAAATTACACTTACTCTTAATAATGCTTACAATTTGATAAGATAAACATACAACATTAAAATAATTTTTAATAAAGAATTAACTAATTTTTTGTACATTTAACTAATTATGTGTAAGACAATATATATAACAGATATTTGAACAATATATCTAACACTTCCTCAGCTATCATCTTCGGTTTGAAAGTTAACGTCTGTGCTCTAATCCGCTTTGTGATAGATTTAAAAATAATTATTAATCTCTTTAATTCTCAAATGACAGTTTGAGCGCCTGATAAGAAAGGTCATATTTTGAGTGCAAGACTTTCATACCGCCTACAGAATCGCTAGAGTGTCTTAAATAAATATACAAATTCATTGCAGCATTTGAGAATCATTTAAGCACACAACTGAGCAATATATAATTCAACATAAGCCCTTCAAGGGGTCATAACTCTCACAGCTCTCAATACTGATAAAAATAAAAGCATAGCATTAAGTTAAGAGTAAACAAAAGGATTTAGATAATGTTGGAAAGAATAACAATATACTCTTGCCATAATCAACCCTTAACCCTTGACAGAACGACTCACGTTATCTGATTTTTATACCTTAAACAGAGTATTTTAAGTTTACAAAGAAGTTTGTAACACCCTATAAAAAAATGTATACATACTTATGTATAAATGATCAGCATGAGCTCAGTGATTTCGACATACAACCGGAACCTTACACCAAAGCAAGGACTAGACAACTTGAGTGGATTTAGCCATGATCGTCTGTCTGTATATACCCGAACTAGTCTCTCAATTTTTGAGATATGCAAACTGAACAATTAAAACGAGTTAATTTTGTGGAAAACTCTTTTATTTGACGAGATATTTCCACGAAATTTTTCAAAGATTATTGTCCAAGGCAATGTTACAATCACCGAAGAAATTGTTTACATGGGACCCCTATAGCATATAGCTTTGTATTTGTATGGGGTATTATAGTATCGGTGCTACCGAAGTTAACGTTTTTTCTTGTTTTTCTCTTAATGCTTACACAATTCTATTGTATATTACTAAATTGGCAGCTCTTATTTCTTCGATACAAATATGTACTGCATTTATCGATATCAGACATTTACTTTATTTCAGAAAACGATTAAAATAGCTATCGCTGAAGTTATCTAGCCAAAGTAAATTTATAATAGTCTGAATTAAAATATTTCAAGGGACAAATAGATAATACTGAAAAAATGCAACAATCACAATTTCTTTTGCGCCGCGATCTGATGGTATGGACGAATATTGGAGATCGTCGAACTCCTTTCCGCACTGAAGTCTGATTTATAATCATCTCACGGATTTGTAATATTCGCGTCAAAATAAGACGATTTAAAAAAAGTTTCATTTTTGAGGCCTCCTTAGTTGGGGGACCTAAACTATACATTTACCTGATTTTTTAACATTTTGTCTATATTTTAGAATATAATTAGTATGTATGTTGAAATACGGAATTTCATTAGAGTATATTGCTGTCGTGAAAGAATTAATTTTACTCTGGCACCTTTGAGAATATCGGACTCAAATTTAAATGTACCAATTGGCAACGCAAAATATTTTTCGGATGTGAAATTCAAATATGTTATTTTGGAAGAAGTTTAGAAATATTTAACACGATATTTACTAATACTTGTGTAATTTTTAAATACATTATATGTGAATTTAGTGTAAATTAATTACAGACTCAGCGAACTACCACTTAAGTCCAAATTTCCTTAATACAAAATCTTTGATATGGCATCACAATATGTGCAGCTGTTTTTAGCTGATACAAAATCCTTAAAGTAAGAAGTGTGAAATCTAAACAATTATTTTTAATATAAAAATAATTTTTGTTGGGTTTGCAGTAAGTTATAACTATTGTATTTTTTAAATTAGATGTTAACTGTTAACCTATCAGCAGGTTGTAAAGTTTGATTTGATATGCCTAGAAAAAGGCCTTTGAATGCTAGCAGCGAAAGGCTAAAACGCCGAAGACGAAAACTTGAAAAACAGCTATTATTAAATTGCCAGAATAAACAAGGTATGAATAAATTGGATCTATATTCTACGTTCTCTGCTCTAAGTTGATAAGTATATGCTATTAGAGATAGGTTAAACTAAAGGTTAAAAGTAAAATTATTAATTTTACTGTTATTGTTAAGGTATAATTATTTACTGTTATTACAGACAACAGCCTTACAACTAAACCATGCAACGATCAATCAACGGTTGCAGTAAAAAGTGAACTATTTGAATACGAAGATGATATACCTTTAACACAGGTAAATTCTGAGGATGTGTGTATTGCTAAGCGCAAGAAACAGGCGGCTTATATACAAGCTAAAGAGTTTGAATCGCCACGTTCATACATTAAGTCTGAAGAGATCACTGAAGACAAGAATCCAGAATTAACTAACAATTTCATACTATACGAAATAAATGAAATAAATCCTTCAATAGTAGTAAATGCAAATGAACTAAATTCTGATACTCAACGCTTACAAAAACCTTCACATTCAGAAAATTCAAAAATGGTGTGGAACATTTCGAAAATAACTCGAATGCCAAATAAAACAATATCAAACAATCCTACTACAAACAGTACAGCAACCAACCGATTAATCCCTAAAATACATCATTTTGTGGAAATACCCGGAACATCAAGTTCAAAACAGAAGGCATCGAGCGGAAGAAAAGTGACTGCGATAAAAATAAGCGGTACTCCTAATGGAAAAGTGATAACAACCTTCAGCGAAGCGACGCGTAAATGCGCTTGTCATCTAAATCCAATGAAAAACGTTGATGTTCATAGCAATTTAGAACTAAAGGATTTCTTTGAAGCAATGTTTGAGGAGACGCGCAAATTGAAAATTGAAGACCGTCAAGCGGTTAAAACAGAATTGCTTAAAGCAGTATCTCAAGCTGAAGAAGACGTAGAGGCTGGAAAGTTTTGTGAAAAGTGCTACACAATGTTCGCACAATCAAAGAAGCGATATTGAGGAGTGAGTGTGGATATCTTAAATTACATAATTTATTTCAATACACACTGACAAAAAAAAAGTTTGCCTGAAGAACATGCACAGTACGTAGCACTTTTGATTTCAGTTCAAGTTTTAATATTTAAGTTAATAATTTACTATAGGCTTATGTGCACATGTAGGTATGAAGATGTACATATTATATTGTAACTCTCGAAATGTGTAGTACTCTGTTTGAACTTTATTATAAAAGCAAATATAATAGAATTAATAATAGAATTTTTATTGCTTTAATTGGACAATCAATTAAGTTTTTTTTTTCAACTAAAAAGTTTGCTAAACACTTGCTTTGGTTATTGGCCCATTGCGGTGACGTAGACTCGACAGTTGTTGTTCTAGCCGTTTTCTAGTACCCGCATGAGTATATATTCAGGGTTGCGTATTTTTTAATTCCGATGTTGGTAAAATTATAGAATTAAAAATTGATAAAATATAAATCATTTGAATGTGTAATTTTACCGACCAGTGTTTTCGAGTATTAAAGATGATGGCTCTGTGAGTTCTAGTTCAAAATGGAATATCACAAAGTACGCAAACGGGAAAAAATATTAATTCCAAAACAATAACATTTTAAATTTTTTATTATAAGCTTTGGGTGAAATCTTTTTTTTTTTTTAAATCCGATATTTAAATTTATTTTAAAAATTATATTTAATTAAGAATTTTGGTATTACAAAATAAAAAAAACTTTAAATGCAACCCTTGATGAGATATGTAAATCAAGCTTCTCTAGTCAATACACATAAAATTAGTGAAAAAGAAAAACAAGACTTGGGTCTTATATTGAATATTTTTTATTTGTGTAATAAATAAAATACCTTAACGTCGGCATTGTTTGCAATGCAGTATTTTGAGTTCAGGACTGAATAAAGTATTGTTACATTTTTATATACATTTATTTCTATATTTTAGATATTAATTCTCTTATAAAAGCAAATAATGATTCAATTAACCGTTAATTAAGCATATATTATCTAATAATACTAAATAGTTTTAAGAATTATTTACAAAAACTAAATCACATGAACATATTAGGAATTAGCTTTTAATTCCTTTAATCAAGCACGTCTTCTGCAGTTGAATAATGCTTATTTGAGAACTGTCGCCAAATGTTTATTTTCACCTTTTCGTAATATCACCTCCAATTGTGATATTAAACCGATTGCGCGGAAATTCTCCCGTGAAAGTGCAAACTCCTCCAGCGGTTTAAGGTATTCGAGTGCCTGTGTGTAGGATGAGAGCTCGATATCCCCAAGTTTGGTAATACCATTTGTATTTCCATTTGTACTGCCACTATTACCATTTGTAGAACCATTAATTGCGGATTTCGGAGAAGCAGCTGGTGTGTGGCCATTAGTACCATTTGGTGTTGGTGTTGCTGTACCATTGAGTTTAATTGGCTTAACATCGCAATCGTTCGCTTCGCAATCGCTCGTTAAATCTGTTACGTTGTTACCATTTGTTGCCGTTATTTCGTTGACATCACCGTCATTGGAACGGGCTCGTTTTGCAGGCGGTTGTAGAATTGGACTGGCACGATATGCTGGAGAAGCTAATTTTTGTAGCTGTTGCAGTGGTGGCGAATTCGAGGCAGGGCGTTGTGGCTGTGGGGAACTATAATTACTATGTTGGTTTTGACGATCGTAGTATCCCTCATAGCCTTCATAACCGCCATTATAATTTGGTATCGGTTGACCATATGCATCATATCCAGCATGACTCTGTTGTTGGTCTTTTAGCGATGCACCCTGTGAATCCTGATCATCGTCCTCTTCATATTCACCATACTGTTGCATATAGTCCATATACTGTTCAGGCAGACTTTCTAATTTCGCTACACGTTCGGCACTAGTTGGTGGAAAAAGATGCTGGAGATCTTGTACAATATCGGGAATCCACAATGATACGCCGAGCGGTTTCAATTGGTTGCTAGCCAATTTTTGTGCAAAGCCACTTAAATGTGTCTCACGGAATCTATTTAGCCAACGATTGTCAGCGACAAATGATGTTGAACCAACGAGTTGTCCCGCTGTAGCGGCCTTTTCCTTAATCATACCGTGTGTTATGGAGCCACGAAGTTGTGGATTCAAATTGGCACGTACTAACCATTCATAAACAACTGCATTGATGTATGCACATTTGCGGCTTCTCTCTATTTCCTCAACCATGGCTTGTTGCTCAACGGCTTTCAGATCATTGGGTACATCTAGGCGTAGCGATGGCACAGCTGAAGATGTTAGTCGTCGGCCGCCTATAAGATTTGGATGAAAGTGTAACGCACAAACAACTGGCTTTTTGAAGGGTAGAATGCGATTGAGCGAGGCATGGCATGCTTGCTTCCAGAGGCCGAAAAACGGGTTTTCCGGGCGTGGAAATTGGAAGAACTGCAATTGTGGGCTCTGTCGTGAATTAGAAAGGCAACCCACGATGCAGCAACGCCTTATTGTAGGCATTTTGTTATTTTATTAAGTTTTTATTTTTGTTTTAAGAATTATACTCCTTTCTGCTTTGCTAATTTTCCTCTTTCGAATGTATACGTTTTTGCTTTAATTGTTGAAGTCCGTTATAGAACAGCTGAACTATAAAGAAAAGGAAAGAAAAAATTTTGTAGAGTAACCAGAAAAAATAGAACGTACGTTTTTAAGAAATTTGGGAATATTAATATTTGGTCCGTTTATAAAATGAATACAAGCGAATGTAAAACCTTAATATACATATTTTTTTACTAAATGTAAAGTTCTTAAATTTATTTATGTAATTAATTTGTTTTTATTATTTCTTTATTTAAATTGTCAAATTGTTTATTTTTATTATTTACTAGCTTTTCGCTCGCATTGAATCCCTTAAATAAAAAATTATTAACAAAAAACAAATAACTATATTATAGTATGTAGATGAATACTATACCGCGATGGTCATCTATGTGGTGGTGATGGTATTCAGAAAACTCAAATTTTGACTGATCTTGACTCATTTTCACTTTTTATGCATTTCTGTTTTGTTGCATTTTGAAATCTTTCGACAAACAAACAAATCTGCCAAAAAATATTCAATTTTCAAAATTTATCTTACAAACAGATATGATCTGCTAAACTAAATTTTTCAAATATCAATAAATATCCTATGTCCTTGCTTTTTATCTATAAGACAGACATATGTATGTGTACAAAGTTTTATGAGAATCGGTTAAGGGGTTTCGGCGTGAAAGCGAAACAAACATACTGATACGAGGGCTGCTATATATATTTCTGGCCTAATAATGAAAATACGAATATTTATCAACGAAAATGGTTTTATTGTTTTTCAAAATATTCTCCATCAAGATTTATACACTTTTGCATGCGCTCAAACCAATTTTCGAAGCACTTTTTCCACCCCGATTGAGACACCTCCAAAACATGGTTTTTGAATGCTTCAACAGCATCTTCTGGCGACGAAAATCGTTGACCACGCATTATGTTCTTGATGTGTGGGAATAAAAAGAAGTCATTGGGTGCCAAGTCAGGGCTGTACGGCGGATGACCCATCAATTCGACGTTTTGGCCGGTCAAGAAGGCGCTGGTTTGAGCCGATGTGTAAGAGCTCGCATTGTCATGGTTCACAATGATTCGTCTTCTCTTGTTCGTTTTTCGAATTTTTCCGAAGACTTCAGGCAAAAAACGTTGCTCAAGCGGAACAGTCGCCACATGACCAGTTTTGTCGAAGAAACAGGCGACCATTTGTTTCGAAGTGCTTCTTCCACGAACAACTTTCGTTGGATTTGGCTCGTCTTGGAAGACCCACACGGTCGATTGCTGTTTTGTTTCGGGCTCATACGCATAGATCCATGATTCGTCACCTGTGACGATCTTATAAACGTCTTTTGAAGCACCGCGATCGTATTTTTTCAGCATTTCTTTACACCAATCCACACGAGCCTTTTTTTGAGCGATTGTCAAATTGTGCGCGATCCAACGAGAACAAACCTTTTTTACGGCCAGGTGTTCATGCAATATCGAATGTTTGCTGGTGGGAGAAATGCATAGGCATTCCTCTATCTGAAGGTATGTTACATGACGGTCTTGCATTATCAGTTCACGTACGGCATCGATGTTTTCTGGCACAACGGCTGTTTTTGGACGATCTTCACGGAATTCGTCTTTGAGCGAGCGTCGGCCAGGATTGAATTCGTTGTACCAGTTTTTCATAGTGCTATAGGATGGTGCTTCATAGCCATATAAAGATTTTAGCTAATCGATGCACTCTTGTCGTGATAATCTACGTCGAAAGTTGTGAAAAATGTTCGAACGAAAATGTTCACGAGTTAATTTCATTTTTTGGCCGAGATGAATTTTTTAATTCCCTGTAAATAAAACAATTCACGATTAAATGACAAAACGTTGATGTTATGCTAAAAAATGTCAAACTTTCCAATGGAAATGTCAGATTGCACCTGGCAACACTTAGTGTTGCCTAGGCCAGAAATATATAATATATAGCAGCCCTTATTCACATTTCCAATATTGGTATGGATTATATTTATTAGCCTTAAATGGTAAACAGAAATGTTCTTATTTTTTGGATATTTATTATTTACTTTTTCTTAAAACACATTTTCATTTTGCATTTTTTCGAAAAAAATTTTATAATTGTCTCCTTTCAAACCAATATTTTTTTTTATTATTGCTGCATTTTTACATATTTAATGTTCCAAAATAAAATTTGAACTTTTTTCTACTCTTAATCAATCATTTTTCTTTATAATCAATCATTTTCTTTATTATAGCAAAACTGAGTGAGTAACTGAGTAATCGCAGTTACGTACGAAATCTGAACTCTTCTCATAAAAAATGGCATCAGGGGAAACAACTGACAGGAAATTACAAAACTGCTAACAATTTCAAGTTTTTATACGTATTGTCCATACAAAAATTGCGTCAATACATATACCTATATATATACATGTATGTACACATACATTTCTAAGTTTATCTGAAGGTATACTTTGTCTGTGAGTCAGTTTTTGAATTGTGGAAACACCCTAGGGGAGTTCTATACAGCAAAAGTTTTCAAAGTAGCGCTGCTCGCAGAGCAACAAAGAAGCAAACTTATACTCGTACACCGTGGTGGTTGTAGATGCCCACAAAATAAATTACAGATACTTGATATTCGACCCAACGTGATAATTTATATCAATATCAAAAGTAGGTATGTGTGCACGACTCTAGCCATGTTCTCATTATACATATGTACATGTATATACTTGTACACGTATACACGCAACAGTTATCGTTAAGACCCCAAAATCAGAGTCGTCGTAACCGACGCTTCCCTTTTCAGGCACTTTTATCAAACCAGTACATAACTACTCACTGAGTATATCCAAAAAAAAAACAAAAAAAACAATCGATGAATTCAGTCGTTGATAAATACATGTGTAAAAGTACAAACATGTACATACATACATACATTTTAAAATCCACTGGCTCGGCTGGTATTCCTAATTAGTACTGTTGCTTCAGCTTATAAAGGTTTTTTGAGAAATCTGAAATTCGTCACAGGTAAACGGAAGTATTGTACTACTTAAAGTTATTTTTACCGATAGCGCTAAGATGTTTCATTTCGATTTGGTACTTTTGTTTGTAACATCATTTCAACTAATATCTTTTTCGTTCGCCATTGTGTTGACTCAGACAGCTGCTTAAGACCGAGTGAGTCAAGCTGAGTGAATTGCTCTTTTTTTCTTATTTTTGTATCTCACCGATTAACTGTGGCAATGAAGATTACCTGAAATAACTGAAAATCAGGTTGATGGTAGCTATAACATATACATCTGTGCAGAAGTCTATATACAATTTGCTGATGTACATATGTATGTTTGTATGTGTTTTTATATATGTACAAATGTATTTTAGGTGCTGGGAACGGAATCGTGCCGAATGACAGACAACTCGATAACGAAGCAAACGAAGACTCTCTCAGCGCCCAAAACAGCGTCGCTATATTTCTATAAGCTGACTTCGTTTTGCGATTTATACATCGCGTTTTCGAGTTCTTCTAATGTTAAGTTACGACTTGAGGCTGTGGAATTTGTACTTCGATTCAAGTGGACGTACATACATAGGTATGCGTGTATGAGTAAACGAGAGCTGTTTGCCTTGTATGGCACCATATGTATCTACTTATATATAAATATAGAGCCAATTGTAGTCTAACATTTCTATTGCCACTGTTGTAGCGCGTCTCTGACGCCATGACTATCTTATGCATACATATATTACTCTCCCAGTTTCCGCTTTAGCCCCTCGATTAATGGGTACACTAGTAGTATGCTTTGAACATTAAATATACAATTTTTCTTTTGACTTGGAAGTGGCTCGATTCCCATGCTTTGCTTTTAGCGGATGTTCGAGTGGTTTAATCTTTCATCATATTTAGGTATGCTAGCGGTGTATATGTATGTGTTTGGCTGTATATGTGTTTGTATATATTAGGTTGTGAACAGATGCCTTATCTCTAAGAAAGTTCATTTCATTGTTGGTCTTTAGCTATCAAATCACGTAATCCCAACTGGGTTGCTGAACACGAGCTGGAGATTTATACATATATTTAACTATATATACATACATACTTACATATATGTATATGTCTGTTTAACCGTTTCTTCTATTTTAGTCCATGCTTAATTCGCAGCTGTCAATTTTAGAGTTATAGAGCTTAGTTGCCCTACCTGCAATGTGTGTATGTACCAAACATATAAATATGTATGTATGTATATATGTACATACATACGTATGTTTGTTATATTGCTTCTCCCAAATATAGATTTGCAGGTGAGATTATCGAGCATTTTCTCTATAGCATATATGTGTGTTCAAAGAGTTTTGCTTCAATTCAGATTTTTTGTGTCCATAAATAAGTTCTAGCTTTAGTTTAGAATAAGCTAAGTTTCACTATACGATATTTTCTTAGATTATATTTTGGTTTTCATTTATTGATATATTGAAATTATAAGAAATAAAAAATTCTTGTTTAAAATCGTTAAAAAACGACGATGAAAGAAAATACTAAAATTGAAAAAAAATAACCAAAATAATAATATATTATATATAACAAAAAAAAATAAAAAATATAACAAAAAAAATTTAAAAAATATAACAAAAAAAAATTTTTTTATATAAAAAAAAATGAAAAATATTTAAAACAATTTAATAAAAAATTTACGAAAATATTTTTAAACATTAGACAGCGAAAAAAATGTTATATGTTTCAGTATAATCAAACAATTTAGAACATATTTTCATGTAATTTACAGATAAAATGAAGAAATATGATTAAACATTTCAATAAAATCTTCAATTGTTATTAAAATCAATTAGATATTTGACCAATCTCTGATTTATTTTATATAATATAATATCCCTGATATTTCTCGGTATACATACATATATATATGTACATATGTGTTTAATATCAAAAACTGTATACAGAAATATACATATAAACATCAACTAAAAACTCCCCGAAAAAGATAATGCAATAATATATAATCCTACATTTCTACATAGACAGTTCGATATAGTCAGACCAGACTATTGGTAGTACTTGAAAATGATTTCATTTGAAAGCAGATGGCACCGGTTATAAAAAATTAATAAAAAAATAAAAACCAAATGAAAAAGTGTCTAAATAAATATCTATGCATTTTACATTAAAAATCCCAATAAGAAATTTTAAAGCAAATTTTCATGTTTTCTTTCAATCTTTAAATATACCAAAATATAAAAAAAATTTAATATAAAAATTTGAAAATAAATAAATTTATTAGTTGGAAGAAACAAAAAATGTTCTACGGTTTGTAGTTTCATGTAATTGTATTGCGTCAATAGCTGCCTTCGAAACCCCTTCGAAAGTGGCGAATCGAACATATAATTAAATAGAGATAAAATGAAAAATGGTCGTAAAAATTTAATGAATTTCATAATTTTGACACTTATAAATTGTTTCACAAGATAGTAGAACGCCAAAGCGCTGGCTGCGTGTCTTATGCCGAAAATATTTACAATATTAGATACATACATTCCTACTGGGTCAGTGCTATTTATATACATAGTATATTCACCTGTAGAAATTAAAATCTTACGCAAAAGCACAGAAGAGTATCTATTTTATTCAGAGTTTGTTAAAAAAAAAAAAATCAATTTAATCAAATTTGACTCGGACTGGTCTATTTAAACTAACCGCTCGTACGAAATCGGTAAACAATTTTTTTCTAGATTGAAGTTCGATCTCCATGTCAATTAGCGTGTGTTTGGCAGCTGTTTGTTTACGAGGCGAAAAGTTTGACTTGCGATGGAAAAAAATTGAACGACGACTGCTTGAAATTATGTATTTTCAATGGAATCACAGCTACGAAATCGTTTAAAATGTTGCAGAAGTGTTTTGGAGAGTATACTTCATCACTAGCACAAGTATTTGAGTGGCACAAAGTATTCAGTGAAGGTCGTGAAGTCATTAAAAACTTGCCTGATGCGTATCGTCCATCTATCTCTGTTGATGACGAAAACATCGAAAAGTAAAAAAAAACAGTGCTTGAAAATCTTCGTGTTGGCATTGAAGAATTAGCAGAGAATCTCAATATCACTTATGGATCGCGATTAAGCGTTGGCATGAGTTTTTTTTTTCGACAGTCCGAGTCAAATTTGATCAGATGGTATATGCAAAGCCTTGACAAAGAACAGTTACGTTCAACTTTGGAAACATTAAATATTTCATTATTAATTGATTCATTATTGATTTTTAGCGTCTTTAATGCAAAATCTTAGTAGTGAAAGGCAATTCCGTCAAAGAAGATAAAGAGAAGAATATAATGTGAATGTATGTACATACATATATGTATGTATAAGTGCAAAAAAATCATGTTGTATGATGTGCTAATATGACCTTTTCGATATGCATTCATGCCTATATATAACGAAAGATGTGTGTCTGTATGCTGTCAGTATGCTGTTGATTGTTGTTGGGATTAGTTGTTAAAAGCAAATGAGAGCAGACTTTCTTTGCCAGCTTCACTTTAGCCACAATACATTCATTAAATTGCTTTTAAGAGATTAATGGCATATCTACAACTATATATTGTATTATAAGGGTGGTTTTCATCAGCACTTAAAAGTGTTAGATTGTTCTTAATCCCTCAACAGTTTATATTAACTACTACTTTTTTTTTATAATCTGAACAGGCTATAATAAGTTTGAAACAAATTTATAATATCAATGACTAACATAACAAGCCGAGTCGATTTAGCCAAGTTCACCTGTTCGTATATACGCGAACAAGTCCCTCAGTTTTTGAGTTCTCGTTCTGAAACTTTGCACACCGCCCTTTCTCCTCAAGAAGCCGCTCATTTGTCGGAACCGCTGATATCGCACATCTATAGCATATAGCTGTCATACAAGCTGAACGATCAAAATCAAGTTCTTGTATGGAAAACTTTTTTATTTGACAAGACATCTAATGTAATGTATCTTCACGAAATTTGGCATGGACTACTATCTAAGAGATCGGTACAATCCCCGAAAAAATTGTTCAGATCGGACTCTTAAAGCATATATGTATGTATGTATGTATGTAGCTGCCATACAATACAAATCATAATTTTTCTCGTTTAAGACTAGAAGAAGAGAGTAAAACAAAACTGGCATTTTCTATTCGTAATAATTTATAAAAAAAAAAAAACAATATATTAATTAATGATTGTAGATGACTCATAGCTGGTCAAAGTCGGCAGCATTTCTACAAGCAGTGGTTGTTTATATTATAGTGCTCTAATATCATTAATAACGGGTTTTGAACGTCTATAAAATACAGCTGATGAGCACTGAAAATAACTGAAATAAAATTTTCCATTTATCATGCTACTTATTTGGCGGCAAAGTGTTTTTTTTTTAACAAAAAATATTTGCAATTAGTCTTTTTCAAACTGATAAATCTGATTCTTATAAAAACCAAAAAACCATGTGCACCTCTTAAAAATTAAAAAAAAGCTTGTTCTTCTTTTCAACAATACTAATGACAGAAGAAAGAAGCAAAGTCAAATAGCAAACCGGCATTCTTTCTTTCTGCTTGCGAGATCTGAAGTATCACATGCGAAATCACAAACAGTTGTCAATCGAGGCACATACACACACATACACTTACAATATCAGCTGTGAGAAACACAAATCTAAACAACAACAAACACTTAAAAAACAGTAGCTGTATCAACGATAATAATATCAAGTAATAAAACGTCATGACAACAACAAAACACCGCTGCTTAACGCAATATATATATACATATATATATGTATTTATGAAAATGTTCACATGTGATTGATAATTACCTTGCGCGCGCACACGCTCACACACATCAGCACAATTCTCAAGACCCCGTCTCTTGTCTAACTCGTTTCGACAGCCTCGTCGTCGTATCCACTCAGCGCGCGCTCTCTTTTTTGCGTGACCGTTACACACGTACACAACACGCCGGCTTTTGTATGTGTATTGAATAAATTTCAGGTTTTATGGGACACAATCTTCTATAGACAACGTTGATAGGCCCCAACACACCCAGCACAGCTATACCGATTATATATACGAGTGGTCTTGACGCGCTGACCTCCGTTTGCGATATGACTATTTGTTCTTCAATTTTTTTATTTTTTTTATTTTAAGAATCACTTTCTTAGCGCTACTGTTATGAGGGCTCGTAAATATTATATGTTTGTCAATGCTAATCAATGATTACTTTCTGAATCAACTTAATTATATCGAGTAAAGCGTGCTACACTGTTTCGTAGTATTTCTTTAAGCGTTCAAAATCAAAGCGTCTATGCGAGGAATAAAAACAAAACACTCCACTCACTATTATTCAAGTTAAACAGCAACAAATGCGAGAGAGCGGCACTGTTCTGTGTTCTTTGAACGCCTAGTACCAAGTACAACACAACTATTAGATACTACAACAATAATAATAATCACACAAGTATAGTATAGTAGTAGTGAAAAAAGTATAATGATACACCACTGACACTGAGGAGAAGAGCGCGCTGACAAAATTACAAACGTTCAAAGCGACTGCTCAGCACTAAATGAAACGTACGTACAACCGACTTGGTGGTCGAGGTCTCGTGCGCCCCAAAATAATACTCGTTTTTCCCATATGCGTATATAGACGAAAATCCTCCAAGCAGTAGTGTGGCCCGGCATCCGTAGTCGTTAGTCGTGAGTCGTCAGTGCCAAGCGTTGTTCGATGTATAAGCACAAAAACAACACTATACAATATGCACACGAACACACACACATACAAGCACGTGTAGTTGTATATGGTATATACTTATACCGTGGAGGGAAGTTTGTATGAATGACTGACTGACTGACTGCATAGATGGTTGGTTGGTTGGGATGGTTTGTTGGTCGCGTTCACTGTGGTTGCTGGGACGCAACGCTTAGAGGTAGACTAGGTAAGGCAAAAAACATTCAGGCAACACAGCTTATGTGTGCGGTGCCAAGGTAAGAGGTAAGCTGTAGAAATATACGAGTTCGTCGTTGTCGGTATACTCGGTAGTTTTGTACGATGTTGTCGATGACGCTGCGATGCGCAGCGACTTAAGCAGAAGAAACAGCAGAACCCAACTGAAAGACTGACTACCTACGACGTCTATACGGGCTGCATCATAAGAAATGGAGGCGTTCACGACAATAACAACAACAATAACAACTGGATAAGCTGTACATCGTTGGCATGGTTGTTGTCAATCATGATGATGTTGTTGAAGAAAAAGTCGGTGAATACAACCAAGCTGTTAGTGATGTCGCTAGCATAACTCGTCGTAGTCTTTATTGCCGTCATCGTATCGTATCGTCGTCAGTCAGTGGTGGAAAGTAAACAAAAGCTATTGAGACCCAGCAGTGAGACCATCCATCGGTGAGTTATACTTATGTGCATAGTTTGTTCCGTAGCGTCGCTATTATTGTATCTTGTGATAGAGATAGAAAGGTTGGTTGGTTTTTGGTTGCTTGCTGCTTCAACATTCAGCGCCGACCTCACTGGCAGTCGTTTATTCGATCATCTCACCTGGCGCGCCGCTTTGCTGTCTTTCCGTTTTTTTTCAATACTTTACTTGTACGCCTTGTTACCTTCTATGGAGTTTATTATGAGCTACCTATCTATGGTTATTATATTCGAGCTCGTTTCTGTATTTACTTCTAAAAATTTGTGACGACTTTGTGAATAGCGCAGTTTCCAAGGCTTTTGGTTTCGGGCTTTGAAAGTAGTATAACAACTCGAGCGGTAAGTGCTAGCTAATCTACATGTTTACATATGCAGGCAGATATAATCAACCCACTTATATATGCTAGTATTTGTATATACATATACGACTTTGATAGCACTTAAACGGGTTCGCCGGTCCACAAGGCAGCCAAACCAGCAGAAAACTCATATAAGTACGTCACACTTTAACTTTCAGAAATTTATTTTTACACGCTCATACCTGCTAAAATGATGCCTTAAGTAATTTCTAGAAATTATAGCAACCTATGAGATATAGAAGTATGTATGTATACAAATATTTTCTATATGTATGTGTGTGTATGCCTACACGCCTGCATTGTTCGATGACATGTATCGGTTGTGGAGCCGTTGAACTGCGCACAGCGCACATTTACCGAGGTTGCCACAGCCGATTTGGGTCTCCACACCGACAAGCGACAATCGAGAGCCGACAACCGACAACCGACTACTGACGACCCACACGACTGACGTCTGTTGCTGCTAGGGGCCGTGTAGCGCAATGAGAGCGACTTTTAGTCGAACATTTTGCTTGGCGAACAAATACGCCCTCATAATATTACAGACCCACACCTACTTACATACTTACATACATACATACATATATACAATTTGCCAGCGCATCTGTGTTTTATAAGTATATAAGCATTTATAAAACCATTTTATTACATGCTCATAGTTCACATTTAGGGGTCTTTTTATTTATGATACTATGGCATAATAAACGTTGTTGGATAAATTTTAGGGCACGGGTCTATAAAAAGCGCAATATGCGAGCGAGTGGTTCTAGTGAGCAAGGAGGGGTTTTGTGTGGTTTTCTTCTATGTATGTGTGTAGTATGTATGCGTGTGTGGTAAAGTGGTATTGGTTAATACAAAATTGCATCTGTATACGTTTACTGTTATTTGAAATTGTGTGTGTATGTGTTGAAACTGTTTTTTAACGGTATTGTTTCTGCATTATTTATTTCAGCAAAGGCGAGAGAGAGTCTATGAATTAAACTATTTATATACATCACAGTGAGTTTAGAAACTTAATTGTGGTTAGGTAAATTTATGTAATTTTAGCCAGATTATTTTGGAGTTGTCATATTTAAAATATTTGATTTAATTAATCAATTTTTAATTTCAATATTTTTTCGTCACAGGAACGCCAACCAATCAACAGATATGTACATACCCAAATAGGAAGAGAAAAGGTGTTTAAAAAGGAACTAAATTTTCATTTCGAAGCTGGACAATAACTGCTTCATTAAATCCCAGTAAATAGGTGAGTATTTAATCTTCATAGCATTCCCGAGCCGATTTGTAAAAATGTACCAGTTATTACTCCTCTGAAAAGCTTAAAATTTTGATGAATATACATATAAGTACATATGCAGTTGTAGTTGGACTAACCAAAAGCAAAGACCTGAGTAGACATTATGATCATTTAAGGTTTCATTGCTTTTTCTAACGGTAAAAACTTGCTGGTCAGGTAACAATAACTTTCATTTTCCTCTGACTTTTACTACTGAATAGACGACCCCATGTCAAAAGGCTAAGCCTAAGAATGAATTTAGAAGTGTTTTATTTAAGACTTATTATTTATCACGATCAATAACTAACTGATATGCAAGACGTTGGACATACTAATATGCTATTTAATTTATATATATTCTGTTAATCCCGAAATTTCGAAATTGTAAAATGACTTCTGCAAGATTCACGTAATTGTTAGTTTTTTCTTACTATTGGTGCCGAAACGTCGAGAATGTAATTTCGGAAAATTCTCGTTTGGGGAAAATTTCGGCATTCAAAAATAACATTTACCAGATTGTCAGTTTTTACTATTGATCCCAAAATTTCGAGTCCCGAAAAATCGGGATTGTAATTTTAGTATTATTGTTTTGAGGACATTTCGGTATTGAAAAACTAATTTTAACAGATTGCCATTTATTTACTATTAATCTCGAAATTTCGGGATCGGAAATGTAAAACGACAATTGCTAGATTTCTGCAGCCTTGGAAAATTGACAATTACAATTCCGGAATTTAACGCATCCTATTTTTTACTTATCCCGAAATTTATGGACTGGAAAATCGGGATTGCAGATACGAAAAATCGGGATAATAATTTCGGGATTTTTGTTTTGGAAATTTCATGATTGAAAAACTAAACTTACAAGATTGTCATTTATGTATTTGCATATATATTTACTACTGAATTAGAATTTTCGGGATTGCAATTTTGTTTTTTTGTATCTTGAAAGATTTTCTAAATTTCGGGATTGTAAAAAACATTTGCCAGATTCCTGCAGTTTCGAAAAATAGGAAATCCAATTTCGCAGTTAAAGGAACATTATTTTTTAGTAATCCCGAAATTTCGGAATTGGGAAATCTGGACTGAAAAATCGTGATTTTGCTTTTTTTTTCAATTTTAAAAAACAATATTTCATCACTAATCCCGAAATTTCATATAACATATGATCTGTGTAGGCAAATAGTGAACGGACAATTTTATATCGTAAAACAATACAAAAATCCATTATTTTATTATTTGAACACCGTTGGAAAATTAATAATTTATAACATGTTTCTTTGTAGCTCATAATCTTACCCTCTAAGTTACAAATCTCATTTCCTCTGATAACATCTCAAATTTATTTTCTGTCAGAAACAACAAAAAACTTCCCAACATTTGCCAAATAATTGCTAGTCATCTGTTGAAAATCATCTGAAATTGATTTCTTTGTTTGATATTATTCTCTACAACTTATTTGAGGTGTGGACCCACCCCAGTACAGTTTCTGGTTATGCACACACAATGCACTGCATAAGACCTCTCGTTGTTTGCTCTGTTCACACAAACAAGCTATATATTTATAATATATATTTGAGCATGTGTTAGCACATTCCCCTATTAAGTGCTTAATTCTAAATGTGTTGTTGCTGTGAGCATGCTCGATCCGTAAACTTTTTATATCGAACACGGTCGTATTATGCGGACGAGGGGTGCGCCAAACACATCCAACCCAATGAGTTGATGGGCAGAAATTCAGTATCTATATTCTATAAAAATGAAATATTCAATACAACCCTTCGGGGACTTATAGCAACAGTGGTTCAAATACCCCATGTACAATGATCCCATTCTTGAATGCTCCTACAACGTACATACTATAATATGAAATATATGTACGCGCAGAGCAGATTATACTTATACAAGCAGACTAACAAATATACCAACAAATATACAAGTTTTGTAGATATGTCTGCTTCCCTGCATCGCTGCCTTGGCTTTATATCTGCCATACAGCTGGGGATTATCGTCGTTAGCATCATTGCCCAGCTGCCATTATTATATGAAAATCAAGCATTGCGTCCCAATGTGTAACGAACCAACCCAAACTCGAACTACTTGAAAAACTGGCAAACTCATCGTTTAACGACGAAACGAAACCATGAAATGGAATTTTACTCGGGCAAGAAGTACTCGTATACAATATAATTTTCTGTATCTGTGTATCTGGATATTTGCCAACTCGCTCTGACACACGCCATCGGATGAGTGGATGAGTGGTCGCTTGGACAAGCGGACGTTGGCCGATTGGATGCCGCATATAACTTTTTATGGATTCGTTTGTAGTTATGGTGCTGCTGGCGTATACCTACAGCAATATATCTCTACATATGTATATATTTTTATTAAAGTACGGAAGTGAAGCGATATCATTTGGCGGGGCAGCTGTTTGTGTAAAACAAGAAATGCTGAAACTATTGGAGATATTACGAACCAAGTATTAATATAATATTTAGGTACTCCGCAGCACATTTTCAGTATCGAATTATTCTGTCTTCCGTTTTTATTGTATGGTGAAGTAAGTAGGTCGTGGCTGGGCTATGAGCGTCGTGTCGTTAAGTCGATGACTGTCGCTGGTGGCTAGCCATTCGAAAACTTGCTTAGTTGTGTTGTTTGGCCAGAACAGAGGCGCTCTGTCTCAAGGTGCGCTTGGCCAGCGCACCTTTAATACCGCTCCACCTTTTTTTAGTTGCAACGACTTTAGGTATACACTTACTTCGGCTAACAATTTATCTTTTAATTTGTGTTGGCTATCTAAAGATACGGGTCACCTTGGTTGGGGCATTATTTTACCGTTTCATTTGTGCTTAACTGCTTTTTGTATGGCTACAGAAACAGCAGCCATATACAGGGTGACTATATATTGAAATATATATAATTTGACAACAAAATGTTATAAAACAAGAAAAAACGTTAACTTCGGTTGCACCAAAGCTATAATACCCTTCACAGATACTCCGATCTAATTTCGTGAAGATACCTCGTCAAATAAAAAAGTTTCCCATACAAGTACTTGATTCCGAT